GGCAATTGGGTGGCAAGCTTGAAATTATTATGGCTTCACAAAGAAATTTGCCAAGGTGGCAAATGACAATCATACATATATATATATATATACATATATTATTTACCAGATGCATACATGTGTATGTGTGTGTATAATGATATAATTATATTTATTAGGGCTCTAGAATTTTACCGTGAGTTTGCTATATCATATTTCCAATAATTTGTTTTATGTTCTATTTACTGATGTTTATTTAGCTAAGTTCAAAAATGCATCATAACAATATATGATATTTATGTGAGAATTATAATATATATATATATATATGATTCGTTTGATATTTTATACTTACCCTAAATTAACTCAAAATTCTTTGAACAAAAATACTTTTAATTGACAAAATTTAAGAATTAATATGACTAATGTGTTAAACTTGAAATTAAAAAAAATAAATAAAGAACGACATGATGTTATAATAGTTAAAATTTTTACCTTTTATGTAAAGATTTTTATATTTAATTTATTAGTGTATTACCGATGCATGATAAATTAAGTTTTTTTATTTTTTATAATTAGTTTCGCTACACATTCGTCGTTCTAGTTAACTGTCTATCATTTTTAAGTGTAATTTTTATATTGTGTATCGTCGTACTTAAAAATATACTAACTGTTCATTATTTTTAAGTATAATTTTTTTTATTATGTATCGTGATACTTAAAGGTATACCACATATGTACTTAAAAGAATATTCTTCTTGTGATCAATCAAAACTCCATCTCAAATTATATAAATTTCTTTCAAAGCATATGGATTTCTAGATGTAGATGATGATATTTATATAAATAGATCTTATATATATACATGATAGAATATAATACTACATAAGTGGATACATTGAGATCCAAATCTATGAAATAACTCATATTATGATCTTCTACTTCCCAAGTTTTCCCATTCCATCATCTAATTTGCGATCTTCATGTAGCATTCGAACCGAAAGCTTCTACAAGAGTTACGTTTATATTTTTTACATATTATGGTAATATAGGAGACATCTCTATTTTTTCTTAAAAAATTACCACTAGTTAACTCTCAATTCACTTCTAACCATAAAATGAAACTAACTTACATTCTTTTCTTTGAAACAAAGGAGGCTTCTGGTCCAATCGGTGCTAGTTTTTAATGATTTTTTTTTAGAAAAAAATAAAAGCATCAACAGCTATTCCTCCATCTATTTGAATGACATACTGAAAAAAATGGCAGGCAACTGAAGTTAACAGACAATAAAGAGAGAATGAACAAAAAGTATACCTGCGCATACTGCAAGCTCTTCTCCATGCCATATATAATTTCACCAGTTTAAAAGTAATACTCCAAGATCAATTCAATCTCCCAACAACAGTGAGATTTCATTAGACAAACTCATTATGGTTCAATATCTGTTTCAAACTATACATACAACAACACAAATTAATTTCAAAAAGCACTACACACCCCCCATTTGTTCATTTTGTAAATAAAGGACTTCGGGTTTCCACACCACAATAATAATCGAAGTAGAAAAGTCGGTACATGAACAATGCGATTCCAACTGTGTTTGCATGTTACTGGTGGCTTTCGGGTTTATGTTCAAAGTTCACGTTAATGTCTTTTCATCGGGATGCAAGAGACCAAAAATTTAGGAGAAAAGACGGTAAGGCAGAAAACCAGCTAATAAAGGCCATGGAAGTAGCAGTTTCGAACTGCACGCAATGGTTTTGCGCACAACTTTGAAGATCATTGTCAATGAGGACTGTGATCCCCGCAGTCGCACAAGCTGCTGCAAATGTCAGGGTTGATGTGATCTGCAGAGAGGAAAATGAAAATAACATTGGAAGCTATTTTATCATCCATCTACATGTCATTCTAGTTTTTCCTCAAGAATAAAATGATAGTGGCAAAGTTGATCTTAGATACGTTGAAAAATTATTGTGTAAGATGAATATACTGACATGGTATCCCATCCACTATCACTGGAAGATAATACTAGAATGGCCAGTAAAATTGATAGAATTATTTACGAATCTACCAACAATAGTAAGAGAGACTACGGCATAAGCACATACATAGAGTACAAAATTATCTTGAGCAATACTTTTATTATTTGCAAGGTGCAAGTTGGTAACACATAATTACTAAAACTAAGTTCAGAAGCTGATGCAGATATACATTGGGGCATTTAAGGTGATAATTTTCACATTTTGCAGGAAAGGACAGGTCTCATACACTAAAAATCAACAAATGGAAGTGGCTCTAAGTTTAGCTGCTCTAACTTCGGAAAGTAGTAAGAAATGAACATTGTGAAAAATAAAAATAAAAAGAAGCTTCTTTTTAAAATTCTGAAGAGTTCCTAATATTGCATAAACTACCAAGATGGGTAATGATAAACTATTGCCTTGTCCTATGGCAAGTTCACTGGGATGCGGGAGCGAATCCTCCATTGTAATTATGTGATTTCTGCGCATTTGACAGTTTTTTTTATCACAGAAGTATTCTAAAATTTGGATTTTCTTCTTCTTCAATTATATAAAGGAAAATTCTCAAATCTTAAGATTAAGTTCTTTAAGAGTAAAACAACACATCATCAATCCACATTAAAATTCTCTATGTTTTTTTTTTCTCTTCCTTTCATTTAATCTGTCTACCTTTACAGTTTCCCCAGAGTAGGAATGCATATACTCATGACTAACAATGAACTTTATTAGAGTTTCTCAAGGAGATAAAGTTCCTCTTTTAAACCGTGAAGTATTGTGAAGAAGATCAATAAAATTACTGCCATGTTATTGGAGTTAATCCACCAGAACTCAGCCATCTCTAACTAAAAAGAGAATGGTACTCTGGTAACTGTTCTTCAGTGGTTTAAAATTAATCGCAAATTATTTAAAATTAAAGAATAATAGAAGCCAGACTAGACTGCTCCAGCATGCCTTAACTTATTAACAACCCACAAGTCTCATAAGGTAAAACTTGTAGGTCAATTATTGGGGTAGCACCAGCACTAGATTGGTAGATCCGGTAACCAGAACGAGGTCCCAGCGGAAAGTTAAATTGAATGTTGTGGAAAAAAAGCCTTGTCTTTTAAAGAACAAACAAGTTGATTGACAAAGTATCATTTCATCTGCCCTAAGAAGAAAATTTGAAAACTTTCTTTGAAATAGGCAAGAGACTAAAACAGTTAAAGGCTTCTTAGTTGTTCAAGTGCATCAGCATAATAAGTTCAGTGATCAAAGCTGTTGCTCAGTGTTGCAACAATCTAATTTAGTACTAACTGCCCAAAAAAAAATCTCTTACCCCATCGCCAATTGTGAACAAACTGACAATTCGATAATTCTGCAAGGACCGTTTCACTAAAAGAGCATATATGTCAATAATAGCGAGCAAAAGGCTCCACGAACTTTGCAAACCAGCAGCAGCAACGAGATAGCTGATGTAGAAAACAAATGGATCATGAAAAGGCAATTACCAGCACAGGAATCAAAAGTGATGAATGAAATTTGTTTTAAATCAAAACCTAGCAGCAGGATCACATGTGAAACATTTAACTGTTCCGATTCGTTCATCAAATAGGGTGACTTAACGTTATCCATATTGCTCACAGAGCTTTATTTTACTGCTGCTTGAATAAGAATAAGAATAATAAATTAAGTTGGAAATTCTCCTTCTCATATTTTCGGATTAGTCACTTATTTAAGTGTATCTGGGAAGTCCACAATCTCTGACAGGTTCACATCAATCCTCAAGTGAGATACATCAAACAGAGCACGAAATGACCACTTGACATGAAACACAATGTGAACATGTTATAGGACCAAGCCAAAAGTACCAAGACGTGCAAACATCACCTTACAGCATCTTAGTTACAATTATGGGAGGGTTGAGCAGAGTGCTATATGTGGAGTATGAATGCTAGTGTCATCCCAAAGCACCAGAAGGCACAAACATGAGAGCACTCAAATCATTGTCATTTAACCCTGAGAAAAAGAGTTACTATTTTTTTCTGCTTGGCCCAAAGGGTTTGTATAGGGTCAAACCTGAGACACAGAACCCAACAAAGGAGAAGATACACCCAGAGTTACTGCTAAGGTGTGAAAAGCATTACCATTTAGTTACCAGTGCTCTATTCGGAGACCCTTCTTTCTTATCCACCTCCTTGCATGCTTTATCAAAAAAAAAGAAAAAAAAAAAAAGGAGGAATCTTTCCCCCTTGCATGATCTCCTAATCCAATATCCTAAGAGAAACCCCCTAATCTCCAATACCCCAAGGTGTCTCTGTTCGCGGTATCAAATGGATTATAAAAATGTGAATTTCAGGGCTCAGCCTAAAGCTATACAGATGACAGATGTGACGACAAAGAAGGTTCATTCAAAGGTATCATATAAAGTACATCTTTCCGGTACTTACAAAACCTAAGTTTTAGTTCTTAGGCTACTGGAAGTTTATTTACCACCAATGGAGATGCTTTCTTCTGTCCATTCATATGTAAGATATTTATTCTATAGTAACCGATCACTGCCAGGTGCCTCACATCATTAGGATTGTACAGAAGTTATATTAAGTCCCAACCGAATGTTTAGATTGAGAATGCAATCGAACAGGTGAGCACTAAATTTCAGTGAGATAAGAATTTCAGAGCATAAGATAACATTGGCTCTTTACCACCAAACTTAGTAATTTTTACATTTTCTTTTCTAGGGTCCTATTTGTTTATACAAAACAATATATTGTGACAAAAACTAAAGAGCGCAAAACAATTTATTGTAACTGTCCATGATTGTTGATGATATAAATTTCTAATGTTCCAAAATTACAAGGAAGGTAGCAATAAGGTTATTGCTATAGAATGAGAATGCCTTGTCTGGTTCCAGGTTAAGTGATTGCAAACTTAGAGGACGTGTAAGGAAACTGCTAGTCACATTGATTGATTAACGGACTTCATCTCAAAGTCACACTGAGACCAAATAAAGATCTAGTTTATTAAGTAAAGCCAATCAATGTTCACTGAAAACATTGAATATCCATTTAAAAGTAGCTCTGGATATCTGACGTTTTAGATTCTTTCCAATAATTACGCCCAAGTTCAACCTTCTTCCTATTTTACTATTGTGAACCAAATTTCATTAAGGCTTCTACAATTAGTATTTGACAAACAAGAGACTGCGTATAACTTCTTTCTTTTGGGGGGGTGTGAGACTCTGCATAATAGCATAGAACAGTTATAGAACTATGAGATTGTTACCAGAAAGCTGTGACAGAAGGGAAGTCACTTGTGGTTGCCATGACACACAGTGCTGCAACAGCGAACATAAACTGGCACAAACGCAATGTGAGCCCTCCAGGGGTGCCCGGCATGCCTTGTATGTCCTTCATCCTCACCCTTGGTGCATTACCGCCCTCAGTGGTTGGAGGATCTTCAACTGGATGAACTGAGGCATGGCTCACATTCATTTCTCTCCACCACAAACTTCAATTCATAGCTCGTTCTCTCTCTCTCTCTCTCTCTCTCTCAGCTTATCAAATTTTGCTATTTTCTGTTTATAGTGCTCGATTCCTTAATTCACTGCACCTATACTAAAAACTAAAGAAAATTAGTAATCCAAACAAGTATATATGAAACAAAAATCAAACCAAGCTGCCAATTACAAGATTTACTGCCTAACTCCATTTGCTCCCTAAGAAAACCATAAGGAAACTATATTTAAGATTTTCTTCTTCTTTAAGTACTAAATTTATCTCAATAACGAATAATACGCCGTAATTAACAAACTATTTTTCCTTTTACAACCACCAAACGGCACACCCAGAACTTCAAGGCATCAAAAACTGTAAATGAAATCAAAATTTCCAAAAATCCCTCCCCTACCTTCTCTTTTCTCTCCAAATTTTCGGACAACCGAAAAAGAAGAAGACGATCCAACATATGCAAACACAACCTCAAGTACAAAACACGGAATCTGATTAAATACCAGAAAAACAACACGAGTATACGTAGAACGCACCTGACTCCAGCGAAAAGAGGGAGCTAAAAGAACAGAGTACTGATTGAACTGTTAATCGCGCGTGACGTACCAGACCAATAATCCCTAGTTCATTGCAGCATCAACTCGAGTTTGAAGGTTTAAGCTGAAGAATAGAAGCGAACAAAAGGAATGGAATCGAAGGATTGCAGACTCTACAAATGGAAAATGGAGAAGAAAGGGTCAAATCACACAAGTTGATGAACTGTTAACTAGCACGCGCGATGCTATTGGCTGTAACATTTGGTCAAGGTTAGCGGGCAGATTGGTCAGCAATCATTGGTAAAGTTCCCTCGAGTTTTCTACCATTAATAACCGTATGTAATTTTAGCCAATTATTAACATTATTTTTTAACTTGTAATTCTTTTAATAAACAGTTTAATTTTCTATATCCTATCAACTAAAAATTGTTTTTTTATGACTCTAAAATTTATTTTTTAACATTGGAATAATTTATGAGAAATAGAGAACTTGAGTTATCTAATAATTTTCTTAGTTAAAAATAGTTACCCATAAATAATTTTGTCTGGTATATTATACCACTTGAGTTTCTAAAAATTTATACATCTTAATTAATAGCATGGTGATATTTAACAATGGTTTATCATTATAAAATTATTTACCAACTTGATGAAATCATATTATTTAACATCATTAATAATCTAATATATATATTACAAAGCTAAGAAGCCACGTATAATATTATTTATGGTCTCACACAAAAAAAAAATACAAAAACTAACAAATGAAATAAAAAGATAATTATAGTCGATGATGTAACGACTCCAGAATTTCAAATGAAATAAATCATAAATTAAGTACGGAAACGAAATAATTAGTTATAGTTTACATTCCTTATACAATAACTTAAAGTACCAAATAATGTTACAGAAATTACCAATTTGAATGAAATACAAAAAAAATAAGGAAATAAACAAAAAATAAATAAAACTGTCATACTACTCGTAATTCTATTGTGGATCGGGCTCTTGATCCTAGTTCTCTTAATCTGAAATGATTAAATAAGAAATGAGTTACACTAGTTCAGTAAGAATATCACGCTACTCACCGACACATAAATGAAAGATGATAAAAAAATCAAAACAACTAATGGAGCTCTTAATTAAACAAATTCATTTACCATAAACAAAATCGTTTACTATCTACTTACCGTAGCGAGATTTACAAAATAACTTATAGAGACAATAACATAACGCAGATCATGATTTCATATGTAATTAATTGAAAAAATAATTTTATCATTTATTAGTCTATTAGTATCCATAGGGGTTCATAAAGAAATATATTCTTAAGTGTATGGATCGTCCTTTCTGATTGTCCATCAATCTGAAGGTGGAATACAGTACTAAGAGATAGTTTTATTTCTATGACTTGCTGAAAACTAGACCAGAACCGAGAAGTGAACCTGGGGTTCATGTCGCACACTACTGTCACTGACACTTCATGTAATATGACTATATCCCGGATATACATTCTAACTAACTTGTGCAACAACAGGGTCGATCATCCTGATGGCTAAGAAGTGGAAAGACTTGATAAGTCAGTCAACAATTATCCAGATGACATCATGTCCTAAGAGTGCCCAAGACAATTCTATCACGAAATCTATTGTGATATGTTCTCACTTCCACTCCAGAATTGGTAATGCCTGAAGTAGTTTGCCTATGCATTGATGTTCTACTTTGACCTGCTGACATATCAAACACTTAGAAACAAAGTTGCCACATATTTTTTCATCTTGTTACACCAAAATCGGGGTCGCATACTTTGATACATCTTAGTACTTCCGGGATGCATGACAAATTTTAAGTTATGAGTCTCTGTCATGATGTCTCTTTTCAACTCACTGTTACCTGGAACACATACCCTGTCTTAAAATCTGAGCAACCCATCGGCAGAGACTCAAAATTTTGAATTAACTCTCTGTTTTGTATCTCTTCTTGAGAGTTGCTATGGTAGAATCGGCGGACTGAGCTTCATTTATTCTATGGATTAACTCAGGTTGAACACTCAGGTGACCTAAACATGTGACTCTCTTTAGGTTCTGAAGTTATACCTGTTGTGCGGCCCCTACCGGTCTATATTTTGAAACCATCAAATGAGCTGATGTATCTGTACTTTTCCTATTGAGTGCGTCGGCTATCACATTGCCCTTACCTGAGTGATACAAGATGCCGCAATCATAGTCCTTAAGGAGTTTTATCCACATTATCTGACGCATGTTGAGATCCTTTTAAGTGAATATATGTTTTAAGCTCTTATGATCGGTATAGATCTGAAAGATCTCCCCATACAAATAATGGCGCTAAGTCTTCAATGCTGGATAATTGCGTCAATTTCTAAGCCATGAGTGGGGTAGTTTTTCTCATGACTCTTCAACTACCTGAACCCATAGGCTATGACATTCCCATGCTGCATCAAAACACAACTCAACCCTAGGTAGGAGGCATCACTATAAACTGTATATTCACCTGATCCGCTCAGTAAAGCCAACACATGTGCGGTAGTCAACTGTTTCTTTAGTTTTGAAAAACTTATTTCACAGTTCTCGTCCCACTCAAACTTAATGTTTTTTTTAAGTGTCGAGTCAGAAGAGAAGTTAGATTAGAAAACCCTTCCACAAACCTGCAACCTCCTCCGATGAGCCCTTTTTTGTTTCTCGTTTCGTATAATTTTTTTATCGTTCTGTTTTATATAGGTTGACCGAAGAAAAAATTTCAGCTGTGAATGTGAGACAACGGAGCCGCCGCATCGGAAAATCCCAACACCAGTAGGTTTCTGTTTTCTAATTTTTTTTGCCAACCGAGATCTCCTAACATATTTTTTCGCAGGGATATATATAAAGGTGGCCATAACGGGCCAAAATCAACCGAAAATGGCTAGGTGAAAGTAAACCGCCATCGTGGGGCGGTGGTGCCATCGTCGGAGCACGGCGGTGCCACCGAATATGAACCCTGAAATTGGCTGAAAACGATTTTTAACATCGATTTTAGATTTTTTAAGTATTTTTAAGTATGTGAAACGTATTTTAATTTTCACAGAAAAATTCAGGAAACCTGGGGACTACTAGTAGGCGCAATACAAAGTTTGGTGTTTTGGATACCGATTTGAGTAAAAATTTCTCACCCTATTCTCTGTTATGAAATTGAAGCTTAATAATCAATAATATGATATTTTATAAAATTTAAAAAAACTTTAAAAATAATTACATGTCACTAATGGAGCCAGAACTGATTAGTTATTTATTTATCCAGTTAACTGATTATTTGAATTTACAGCTCTAAATACATGATAATATATTAAAATTATTAAATAAATTCAGTTGTACTTCCTTAATGCATATATCGCTTGTCTTGCGTGATTTACGGTTGATTTGTGAAATTTAAAACTAATATGCAAATGAAAAATTGCTTGATTATGTAAATTAATAAACAATTGTCTTACTGGATATTATGGGAGATGGTGGACAGGCCGAGTACATAAGGAACCCTACTGTGAACATTACCTCATACCGGATAGGGTATCGATTGATGGTATTTTTGCGCTCATACCGGATGAGGTATAAGGACAGCTCGATTCACCCTCATACCAGACGAGGTATTGAGGGATAGTATTTTTGGTGCTCATACCGGACGAGGTAATGGGACATCCAATTAGTTGACAAGTTTAGATATTAGGTTCACGCGTAGTGGGACACCCCTATGTACCAACAGGGATACCAGTAAGCAAAATAAAAAGGAAAAAATATTATTCTTACTCACATTAATATGAGATCAATATGGTTATTTGAGTTATTTATAGGTCAGTTTTGAAAATCTTAAAACGGTAAGAATGCAATAAATAATGTTTCTTATGATAAATGAATTTACTTAAATTAAGAGCTCTATTTGCTGTTTTTATAATTTTTACCAACCTTCAGTTTCTGTATCAGTGAGTAGTGTTATATTTTTATTGGGGTAGTGTAACTCACCCCATTCCCTATAAATAATTTCAGATCAAGAAAACCAAAATTCAAATATTTATTAGCAGGAGGGCTGTGAATAGGTATCCTCCCGGATCCTATCAAAAGCTAGTGGATGTTAATCTCCCTACAAAATTTATTTACTATCTTCATACGTTATTACGTTTTTTATTTTATGAAATGCTGCGAAATGGACATTTTTGTAGCCCTATTGGGCATGTTAATTTACGTGTAAGAAATATAAACCCTAATGTTATTATACACTTCCACATTTAATTTATGAAATTATTTTCATTTAAGTTATGGGTCTTTACAGTTGGTATCAGAGCTCAGTTCCTTGGAACCATTCCTTATATAAAACCTAAAGAAACACCAAAAAAATGAATTATCACTCAACCATTCATTGTAAAATGCATGTGCATATATATGAGGAGATGAAAACTTCCACTAAATTGAGCAGCACGGAAGAGTTCACTTCGATAGGATGTTGACAACTATTTGATATAGGACAAACCTAAGAAAAAACCAAGTCATACCACCTATTTAGGGCAGAACTTACAACCTTATTCAGCAAGATGCAGACGTAAACCTAGACATGATATAGGACAAATCTAAGAAAAAAATTTGTATTTGAGATATTTTAGTAGTCCGAAACTTTTGGAATGTATTTCATGATGAACTACCCGAACTGCCAGTGAACAGAGAAGTTGAATTCACCATAAATCTTCAATCAGAGACCCAGCCTATCTCGGTTGTTCTCTACCGCATGAGCTGTGTTGAGATAGAAAAGATAAAGAAACAGATCAATAAATTGTAGAACAATGGGTTCATCCGACATATTGTGTCTTCTTGGAGTACTGGAGTCATATTTGTAAGTAAGGAGGATGAGACGTTAAGGTTATGTATTGACTACATGGGACTGAACATGGTCACGATCAATAATAAGTACCCGCTCCCCAAGATCGATGACCTTTTTGATCAGTTGTAGGATGTCCAGGTTTTTTCTAAAATAGAGTTGCGTTCATGTT